CCCCAAAACCCCAAAACCCCAAAACCCCTTATTTTCAATTTAATATTGAAATTTAGGTTGTAAATCTTGTTCTCTTCTTTGCCATCTTGACGTTCTCAATGGTCACACCTGGCTTCATGGACACTGGCATTGATACTTCCTTCGAATGGAAATCTACTTTAGTTTTTGGCCTGGAATATTAACAAAATTCATACATTTTGGACATCTCTTTCTTGACGTTTGTTCCCATTATATTTAATGTTTTTGCTACGAGTCTTAGGATATTAAATCGTTTTAATTGGCTATTCGCATCATCAAGATGATTCATTTCATGATCAAGGTCTTTAGAAGGCTGCTTGATTGAGTGCTTTAGTTCTGTTATCCCAGCAATATCAATGAAATTTTGACCAGTTTCTAGTTTTTCTAGATTTTTTATTAGAATAGATTACCTGAAATCCTGATTCCAACTCTGCGTTTATTTGTGATTGTTTGGAAAGATTACCGGCTCATTCTGTTCTCCCTAAAGAGTAAGACTAGAAGTATACAATCCCCAATTGGTCAAGAACGTTCTCTAGTTTGCTTGTAAATTGCTTAAAATTTCTGCAGATTTGTTGGTAAACTCTCTTGCTAACTTCGTATGACACCTCTCATATCTCTTTTTCTTCAAGATTACTGTAAGTAGCCTTATTTCTGCTCTGCTTTAATAAAAATCTTCTTAAAAATCTCTTTGTACTCAGAAGCAGCTTCTCTCTTATTTCTAAAGAGTTAAGTTCAGTTGTACCTTTAGAACATTAATTTTATTTAGGAGAGATGCCTTGCGGTCGCCAGTGGTGTTGACTATCTTCTCATAGTCTAAAAGAGGGTTCTCTTTTGTTCCATCAAATATTACCACGTTTTCATCATAAGCAGATGGGGAGCGAATAATCTCTAAGATTAGGGATTCATATTCAGTTATTTTTGATTGAATGTTATTTCAAAAATTCTAAGAGTTAAGTGAATCCATACCTATAATATCCAATACTTTTGTTATGCGGTGATCTTGAATTTCAGTGTTGGTTTTAATTGAATGGATTAATTCTCTGATAGACTCAGATTTTATCTCTTCAGTAGGATTCTTAGCGGCCTTATTTTATTGTGAAGTCATGAATGTCTTGTAAGCTCGCCCAATGTTGAAATTTTCTTAATTGTAAAAAGAAAGAAGTACCTTTCTCCGAATGGTAGCTTTTTGATATCTTTTTCATTATTTTCTATCACTTTTTCAAGTTCATTTTGCCCTTCTAGTCCTTTAGTCAAATCTACAGTTCCATCCTTCCACTACAAACCATGCCAAAATCAACTCAAACACCTCAAAAATTAACTTTCCAAAAACCCTCTAGCATAAAATCCAACCTCAAACTCATTACCTCCTTCTCCCGCCTCACTGTCTCATAAACAATCTTCTCATACACCTAAAACTCTTATAATTCCCTTACATCTCTAATCTTTAATTTTGGCACCTTCATTGGCTCCAAAAAGCTATGACTATTTCACCTCAACTTAGGATCCTCCATTAATTCAACCCTCTTCTTAATATCCCTGAGACTCAGGTTATTCTCAAGTCTTCAAATATACTCTAAATCATGGTTCACCTTCATATATTTAGTCTGATACTGGCTCTTCTTCGGCAACGGCGGCTTCTTTAATTTTTGACGCTTGAGATTCCGAAGAAATTTCGTAGTTGCCCGAGTCACTAGAAGAGATAAGCAAACAATTACGAGTAATTCCAAAATTTTTACTAAACCTCCGAGTTTTATGCCTATAAGATTAAGACGAAATTTACAGAGAAGATCTCTTCTTTGAATTTTTAGAAGAAGTCGACAAATTTTCTCCAGGTCTGATACAGGAATTAGCCCTAGAATTAAATATTTTTAGAGCTTTGAGAAACTTCTTGCTTCAGGCTTAATTGATGTCTTTGCTCTCTCTTTAGCCAGATTCACTCTCTCAGAATTATTGGGGTCTAACTGCTCTGAGATATTGTCCATTGATTCACTATCTTCTTTAATCACACTTGTTGTCTTGTTCACATCAGAGTCCAAACTACGGTTATAAATTAGAATTACTTCTGCACAATAGTTACTTTCTTTTTGACTTGGATCGGACCATCTAGATTCTGTGTCAGTTTAGATGTCTGCCTCGATAACTTATTGGATTTCTCCTTCTTTGCTTTCTTCTTATACTTCCTAAACCAAAGAGATCAATTTGGTTGATTAACATATTTTTTTGTTTCTTACAGTGGCGATAGTAAAATATATAATAATCTATATGTTACCTGCAGGTTTTTCCTAAAAGACTGTTCTTCTTCCGATGGATTATGACTCTTTTGAGTTCAGTCCACTTCTTTCCACCTCTTTTGTCCTTCAGAGCTTCAATATTCCCTCTACAAAATTATCTTTGAATAAGGCCAATTTACATTAAATTTCCAGAAAAGTCTGGTTCAGTTAGGTAGTCAGAATCAGTGTTACTATTCAACATACTTGATATAATAAAGCAAGAACTTTTTGTTCAATAAGGATTCTAGCCCTCAATTTGGTTAAGTAAAGTAATCCAATTCTTAAATATAAAGTGTTACTCAAAACTTGTAAGTTTAAGAACCCCCAGACTTTTCAACCGAAGCATAATTTTAATTGACGTTATTATTGAGATATGTACTCTATTCCCAACGGCCCCTAAGAGCCCATAAAGTGTTAATAATCGCTTTATTTTACCTTTCAATAGTCCTCATCTCCTGATGTTCATTCTCCTGGGACTTTAAGTTCGATTTTGGTTCCGAAATTCCAGCAGTGGTTCCTAAAGATGATCTATTCTATCCTCACCTAGCTTATTAAAGCTGTTTGTTCTGTTCTGAATAGTCCTGATGCTCTTCTGGTCTAATAAACTCTTCACTTTCAGCCTATTAATCTATGGATATTGTTAACCTCTGGGTTAATGAAGTGTAGAAACTTCCAGGTGAGATTTTGGAGATATAAAATTTTGAACATTTTATTAAGCATTTTTGGAATTTTTTGACTAAATTTCTAAATTTGTGAGGTGGAATAGTATAAAAAGATAAATTTTGGCTGGGATTTTGGGAAATTATTTTAGGTTTTGGGGTTTAGAAACATTTTTAGTGAAATATGGTGAATGGAAGTTTGGAAGAATTTATTGGGACTCAAAAAGTATGGAGATAAGCGGAGATTATAAGTAAACAAATGAAAAGTGGTATAATGAATAGTATAAGTAGTTTGGTGCATTTTAAATAGCATAATTATATTTATCCAGAGAAGAAAAGTCAAACAAAAAAACTTTATATTTAAAAACCAAATAAAATTCTATCGAAAAACTAGAATAAATTTCCAGCAACCCAAAAATGAGCTAAACCTAACCCTTTTAACTTTACCTACTCTATCCCTAATCTTATTTCTCCCTGACATCCATGCTGCTATCTATTCGATTACACTTCTCTCCTCACTCTTAGTTCCTAGCCTTCTTGTAGTGCTATAATCTTATGTAATTAACTGAAAACCAATCTAAATCAATTCTATCCATTAAATAACCCTCTGAAAGTTTTTATCGGCAAGGAACAGATCGTACCACGAATTCCTGCTTCTAAACACCTCCTTTATCTTCAGCTGCAGAGGTGGCTGGTTTTTAGATAAATTACTACATATTTATACGTAGATTACCTAATAGCTAAGTTTAGGTGCTAAATGGCTTTATAACTTACCTTAGTGATTTGTAGGATATAGATTTAGAGTCATCCTGGAGCCTGGATTTTGGCTGTTTGGGTATCTTTTGGGCCTAATTTTGAGGGAATTTTTAGGGATTGAATTTGGGGGAAGTGGGGTTGTGGAGGAGGGAAATTACATTTTTAGGGGGAGGAGAGGGATACTGGTTAGGTTTCATATTTGAGTTGGATTTATTTTATTCTATATTATTGAAAAATATGGGGTTTTGGGGTTTTGGGGTTTTGGGGTTTTGGGGTTTTGGGG